GAAGTTTTATTGGTTCGATATAACTATTCTATCGATTCTAAAAATGAAGTAGAAATTGTATATAAAATCATCGAAAGAACTTGTTCAGAGAAAGAAGGCATCGACAAAAGATCAAGCTAGTTTTGATTCAGCACTAATGATGATAGAAATTTCCAGGAAATCAATTATGAAAAAAATACGTGAAGATGAGCAAACTGGAGACGATGAGTGGTGCTCCTATATTTCTTTGTACAATAGTCACTTTTGAAAACTCAATCTACAATAGCTAGTTTATGGCTGGCTCTTCATTCAGTAAAGAAAGTGAACTTGAGCCTGCCCAATTTATTACGGATTTTGTAATTTAATTTTGTATATTGATAATAGTGTAGCACTATTATCAATTTTTGATAGTGAGCCAAATTATGAGAAGGTAACTTTACGTATTATTATTATAATTTTCGACTAAGATTTATTTAAGAACAAAATTTTAGTTATCATCCACACTGTTGGTGTTCTAGTTTATCTGATTTTTGTCTGTAAACAGGAAGACAGGTAATTTGAAAAAGACTTAAAGAGGCTATAGTTTCATTTCTACATACGTTTATCTGTTGTATTCGTAGAGAATATTGCTTGATCCCGACGAGAGTAATATTGTATTGTCGACGCTTTTCTCTGTTTGAACTAGAACATAATCATTCGTATTTATACTTGAAAAATCTCTTATATTTCGCGCATCCAACCGTATCGCGAAAAATGATGAGAATAGTGTGCCCACATATCTTTTGTTCCCATTGTGAATATACCCATGGTGTTGCTTGTTCGCTTATCCGTCGTCCCACAGCCAAAAGGTACCCCCTACACAAAATAACCAATCAGCATCAAAGTAAGCTCAAATCAACAATGACGATATTGTCTCACTATACCTTGTTTTTTTCAATGGGACTTTTTCCCTTTTTTTGCTTGCTCCTTTATTTTTCCTTCGTACAGACATACAATACTCATCCAACAGCAAGCAATTATTCATTATAAAGTACCCAGCTACGGTCAGTTTATCCTCAAAAAGTACGTTCTTTTTCTTGCTTGCAAATTTTTGTCTTTCTTTTGCTTGTTCTTTTATTCGTCCTTTGCATAGACACGATACTAATACACAAAAAAAAATGTGCATCACAATGTGCACTTAATTACAATGTGCAGATATTTCGAAAACAAACCTTGTTTTTGTTTTGGTTGAAAATTTTACCTTTAATTGATTAAATATTTTGAGTTTTGATGATATATATTTATTTTTTTAAATTATAAATTATATTCATTTATTGTTTGTCATCATATTGTTCAAAATCATAAATAGATTTTCATCAAATGATCAAGACAAAATAATTATCTATAGATTTTATTAACTTTTTCTCAACTATTCTAAATGAAAACATTTTCTTTGTCTTAATACACTAATCTCTTGATAATTTTGATTAACTTAATATCTTCTTCCTTATGATTAGACTTGTGACAACTCTTGGAAATTCTTTTTCGACAACTGTGTCTAATGAGCAGGTCATTGTTTTTCGAGAATCGACTACTTCTATTTTAATATTAACTTTCCGTTAACTTCATTTCAGCACATTTGTGTAGTTGATATATTGAAATGACATGTTTGGTGTTACTAATTCATTCAAAAAGAATTGACATATATAGATTAGTTTATAAGAAATAACTGTTGTGACAATTCTCAAGATCGTCACTGATATGAAACTTACGTAAGTATATACATTAAAATAAAAGTCAATAAATGAATAATTTAAGTACGAATAAAACGAATTGTTATAAGTAAAATGATCATAGATTTATTATGAGAAACGTTCAAAAGTCTTCACAGTTTTATTTATATAAAGTGTTAATTAATTGAGAGAGTTTATATTCATTTTGTAGCGATAGAAAAGTTCTTTCTTACGAGAATAGTAAAAGAATATCTGGATAATTATCATTTTCGTCAATAAGTTATTTCGTTTTTTTTTTCGTATTGGCAAAAAAAATCAATGTTTTATAATAGTAGTATTAGAAGATTCGCTAACATTTACCTCCTTCGACTAATATTTATTCTATGAAGTCACGTTTTGTTTTTATTTTAAATTGAGATGAATGACAATTTTCACAAGAATCTTCTATGTTGAAGATCTTTCAGTTCGATTAATATGATGAAAAATATTTATTTGTTTAATTAAATATTTAAAAAAAACAGCAACTAAGATAAAATATAAGATGAATATGATAATAATAACAATTGAAAAATATTCTTTTATATTTATCTTATAAAAATAAAAGTAAAAAAATATATCTAATTTTTTTTATTTTGTTTTTTATTTAAATAACATTAATGAATAAGTGAACATATAAACTTTGTCATGATGTTGTTAAAAATAAAATTTATCTTCAATAGTTAAATCTTATTTTAAATTGTTATTATTATATAAATAATATATTTTTATCTTTCTTTATTAATATTTTTTGAAGAAAAAAAATAACGATGAATGGAAATAAAGATAAAAATAAGCAAAAAAGAAAAAGTATTGATTCAACCAATTCGATAACGAGTATATTGCACAATAGCAGCAACAACGGCTCCAAAACATGCTAATTTAAATGATAATGATGCATAATTTGAAAATGACCAACTCTCCTTTGGTTTATCATCAATTGTTCTAAACAAAGAAAAAAAATTTTTTATTCGAATTAAAAAAAAACATTTACAATTTCATTAAATGTTGAATATTATTAATAGTTGGTTGATTCCATTGTTTAATAATACCTTGTACATGACCAATACCAACAACAGCAACAACAGTTGCTGGAACAAAACCAGTTTCATTTGTTTCAATAGGAATTTTTTGTGCACATTTTCTTAATGAATATGATAAAAATTGATCACGTTCAGTTACAAATACACGAGATAATTCAGGATATTGATCACTCATTTCTAATAATAATTTTTCGAGCATATCTTGTTCCATACATTTTTCAACATCTTCATTTCTATATTTATATATTATAGAACAATATTTTATTAAATACAACAACAACGAAAATAAAGAACAAACGTTATTTTATCTTTTGATGTTAATAATGACCAAACTAAACGAATTTTTTTCCATGTTGATAATGAATTAATAGCACGTTTTAATGTTATACCAACTGGACGATCACCAAGTACAAGACTACAACCGGGTACTTTTTGAGCCTAACATTTTTGTTTTTAAATATTTATCAAATATAAATAGAACAAAAAAAAAACGAATTTTTTGTTTACTTCACGAAAAGCTGCTCGAAATTCTCCTCCTGGTGCCATTCCTAATTGTTTAGTTAAATGAGCTGTCATACTTAATAAAAGTACATGAATTATTCCATGAATAACTCCATTCTAAAACGAAAAATATTTTTTTTTCTTTTTTATAAATAAACAATACCGACGGATAACATCAGGAATCTACTAGCTTCCTATATATATATAGAATAGAATATTAATTTTAATAGAAATGAATATAATAGATCATCAAATTGTCTATATTTATCTAGGTTTATTTTGTTTTGTTGAATGCAAACAAATTCTTATGGATTACATTATCTAAGAAGATCTATCAGTTTTTACGTCTTATTATACTCTTTCAATCAATGTTGATTTAAATAACATCTATTCTCTTTTAACGTTTATTTTTATTGAAACATTCTAATAAAGTGTGTTCACATTGATAATATTAAGAAAGTTATTTTCCTCTTAAATATTTATCTTATTTCAATCTCAAAGTAATATCAATACTATATTAAGAATTAGCATAAAAGATTAGTAATTAAAATGAATATAATTGTAGAAAATGATAAAAATTAATCAATATGATTTTGAGAATAGAATTAATTATATCTATATTATCTTTGATACACAAATTGATGTGTCATTAAAAAACAAGATCGATCTATAGAAATAGTTTTTATATTGACTTTGAAAAATCAAAACTAATAATCGATTTAACTGATAGATCATCTATGAGAATTTAATCGTTGAAAAATCTTGTTTCTTTTTTTTTTATAGATTTAAACAAGAATAAAAACAAAATCTATATAAAATATGTCGAATTTAATGACCTATGTTAATGAATTATATGTAAGTTAAAGCTAAGCAGATAGGTGATTTACGATCTTATCCGGCGGTTTATTTCGACAAATAAGACAAATGTATATTACAGCTTTAATAATAGTTCGAAGTTTTTCAAAATTGATTTGTGAAGCTTCTCTCATTAATGTATTTTCATCTAATGAAAGTATATTGACCTAATAATAATATTTAACATTTTGATAAAAACAACAAAAGTAAAACTTACACGACTTTGACATAATTCAACCATAACAATATCTGGTTGAGTCATTTCAATTATCTTTTTAAATTTTAAATTATTTTATTTTAAAGAAAAAAAAAAGATAAGATTATAAAACATACTTCTGTTACTTCACGTTGACTTTTTTCACTAAAAATGACAAATAAATGAATTAATAAAAAAGAAAAGAAAAAAGTAAATAAGATACCTAAAATGTGCTGTTCCAACAAGATAAACAATGCCATTAGTTGTATCATCTTTAAGAATAGTTATTGTATCAGGTAAATCAGATGATTGAGGATGTTTTCGTTTTGATATTGGTGTTGATTTTATAAATCTATCATAACTAGTTATTGTTTTCAATGATTTATCAACTAATTCAATATCTTCTTGTTCATTTAATAAATTCTGATCATTTTCAGATTGAATTATATGTTCTTCAGCAACATACGTTTCCATATCAATTATCTATAACAATCAATTTATTATCTTTTTTGGTTTTTTTTTTTAAGTCGTCTCAAAAAATATCATTTTTATTCTTTTATGAAATATATACAAAAAAAAGAAAGAAAAAAAAAGAAAACATATTATCGTAAAGTTGTGTTTATTTGATTAAATTCTAGGTTGTAATTGACGTAATCGTTTATTTTCGACTCTAAGACGTTCGATTTCATCGATTAATTGAGCATTTAATGAATGAGATTCAATTTGTTTCATTAAATCATTCTAAAAATAAGATTTTTTCTTTTTCAAAAATAAGTTCTTATTATTTACTCTAAGTCGTTCTAATTCAACAATAAAATTCATTTGCATTGAAAGTTTAGTTCTATTAAGATCATCTTTAAAATCTTCACGTAAACAATTAACTCGATTATCTAACATTATTTTAAATAAATCATCATCATATTCAGAATTAATATTTGTTCGATCTAAAATAATATATTTTTATTTATTTTAATTATTTTGTAAATAAATACATACGATGACCATTTTCAATTGGACAATTAACAGAAACTCCACATAATTTTGTAAAATCTTCAAAACTCATACAATCATTATTACTCACTCGAGATATTGACTAGAATTATTCATTCATTCATTCAGTTTCGTTTTTTTTTTTTTGTATTGAAATTCTAAACTTACTTTTTCTTCATAACGATCATTTGTTTCTATAGATTTAAATAATATATTCTCTTTCTTTATTAAATATAAATAATACTTACGTTGTCGTGGAGATGACAAACCTTAATAAAAATAAATTTAATTCTTAACTATCGATTATAGAATAGAATAGATTTATTCAATTTAATATTAAACAAAGTAAATTCTTTAACTAATTTTATTATTAAAAGAAAAGAATTCTCTCTTTTATTTTTTATAAATAAAAAATTCTTAATTAACTTCTATTAAATTATTAAAATTAACACATACTTTTATCAATATTAGTTGAATATTCAGTTGTTATAATAGGTGTATTTATTTTATTTGTTGTTGATAAAACTGATGAATTCGATCTTTCACGTGATGATTGTGTTAAATATGGACGATTTGTTGATATTTGTTCATCAATTGGTGTTGAACATTGATTTGATGATGATGATGATGATGATGTATGACGAGAACGTGTTGTTTGTTGAGCAAATGTACTTAATCCTTTATTTGTCTATTTAAATAAATAAATAAATATAATTTAATGTCAATAATCAATTAATAAAAAACCTCTTGTAAAAGTGTTGTTGGTCTTTGAATATTAATTGTTTGTCCTGTTTCAAATTTAACTGAATAAACATTTCCATGTTCAGAATTAACTAAATGTGATAATTTTGTTTTTTGGATCACGTAAATCATAAACAGATGCATGTTGACCCATTGTTCCAACAGCAACTAATGAACCATTTGGATGAAAATCAACACTTGTTAATGGAGCATATATACTTATTGTTGACAGAATCCTGTTCATTTTATTTTTTTAAATATAATAATTTAAAAAATAATTGATCTTACTTTTGTTGTATAACATCTAAACAACATAATGATCCATCCATACCTGATGTAACAAGAAAAGCATCATGATGAGGAGAAAAAGCTAAATCCGTAGCTGGAGCTTTATGAGAATGTATTGATATAATTAATTCTTTTAAACGATAATTCCATAATGAAAGTAAACCATCATTTGATGTTGTTCCTAATAATTCTTTATGTGGAGACCATTTTATTGATGATATTGAACCAAGCTAAATTATTTTTAGTTTTTTTTTTTTTTTTTAAAAAACAAAAATAAAAAATAAAAATAACCTTATTTCCATTTTTGATTGTAAATGCAGAAAATGTTTGTTTTGTTAATTGATTATAAAGAAAAACATTACCTTTTCGTGTTCCAGCAGCTACATAAGAATCTCCATTACCCCAACATATACATTCCATTGGACTTTGATCAACACTCTTAATATTTTATTTTATATTTATTTAGATATTTATTTTTAATTCTTACATTAAATGTTTGAGAAATTCTTCCTGAATTAACATCCCATATTTGTGCTTGACTATCTTCATTAGTTATACTTAAATATTTTCCTGATGTACTAAATGAACAACATTGAGCTTTTGTCTAAAGATAAATAAGAAAATAAAAATATTATTTTCATTTATTTAATTACTGTTGAAAGTTCAACAGATTTATTTTTTTGTAAATCATATAATTGTACACGTCCCGTTTGTTTATATGTAAAAACAAGATAATTTGCTAAAACAATAACAAAAAATAAATTTAAATGAAAATAATCTTTTAAATAAAACTAATACAATTATCTTTTTTCCAATCAATAGATTTAATTATATCAGTTGATGGTTGATGATCATGACCAAATTCTTTAATTAATGAATAATCTTGACAATTCCATATTTGTAATATATTACTACATGTAGCTAACATCGTCTTTTTCCTTTTTTTTTTTTTGTTTTTGTTTATCCTTCAATCGATTTAATATAGAAATTAAATTGAAATCCGTTGTTTATTTATTTATTATTATTGTTATGTTTTCAGATAGAAATTTTATTTTAATTCATTTTAATATTAAAAAAATAATCAAAAAATAAAAATTTGTTTCGAAAAATAAATTATCTATTTTAAAATTTTAGTGACCTCTATTGACTTTTTTTAAACAAATTTTTATTGGTAAATTGAATCATTGATGATTGACCTTCTTCTTCTTTTTTTGTTCTTTTCTGTTTTTTCTTTTAATGTCACATAAATCGATTTAAACAAAAAAAAAAAAAAAACCGATTTTATTATTTCGATCTAATGAAGTGGTCTTGGTTATTATCTTCAATATTATTTTTTATTTCGATTTATTTATCGTCAACTCAATTTAGTGTTTATGATCAAACAGTTTTTCCATTTAGTATTTATAATATAGATGGAAATCCAAATAATATTATCACTGATAGTAAGATTTTAAATCAATTTTAATCTAGCTTGGTTTTTTTCTTTTAATTATTCATCGAAATTAATTAAATCAAAAATTCATATTAAATTAGTTCTTTGTTTGGTTTTTTTCATTATTATTGATATTTTTCGTTTTTTTTTGACAATAAACTATTTATTTAATTTAGTTAGAAATAAATTAATTTTATCTTAAAAAAAAAATTCTATTGATTGATTATTATTAATAAATATATCTATCTAGATTAGAGTTAAACTAATAGAATATTTTTATTATTATTTAACCTTTTACTTTCGAAAAGGGTAAAATTTATTTTTGATAATAAAAAGTGATAGATTTAATAATAAATATATATATATTAGAATTTTCAATATAATTTAATTATTTTAAAAAATACTAGTTCGTTGGTGTTGTGTAAATGAACGTGAATATAAAAAATGTCAATCATGGTCAAATGCATTATCATCATCAAATATAACATTATCAAAATTAATTTGTATAACTGGTTTAGATAAATTTGATTGTTATAGAAAAATTTTTAATGATGAAGCTGATTTAATGACTGCTGATTCAGGTGAAATTTATACTGTTGGAAGATATTATAATCTTGTACCTATTGCTAATGAACTTTATGCACCGACTTTTAATGGTATATATAACATATTTATATCTAAAATCTAAATCTAAATCTAAATGTATATATATAGGTCCATCATCAAATACATATTATTCAGTTGCTGTTGTTCGTGCTGGTTCATCAATAAATTTAAATAATTTACAAGGTGCTCGTTCATGTCATTCATCAGTTGGTTCATCATCTGGATGGAATCAACCAATATCTCAATTATTACGTGATCGTCGTTTAAATATAATTGATTGTAATAATCATGTTAAATCTGCAGCATTATTATTTGGTTCAATGTGTGCACCTGATGCATTAAATAGACAATTTAATCCAACAGGTGATAATCCATCAACTGTTTGTGATCTTTGTCAAGGTACAAATGGAAATACATTTTGTACAAATCAAGATCCATATGCTGGAAATATTGGAGCATTAAGATGTTTATTTGAACAAGGTGATATTGCTTTTGTAAGACATACTGCACTTATTGAATTACAAATACGTGATCCAACATTTCCTATTGATCAATTTCAATTATTATGTACTAATGGACAACGTATGCCTTGGCAACAATTTCAACAATGTAATTGGGTATAGATTGTTTTTGTTTTCTTAAGTAAAAAATAAAATGTTAAATTGTATTAAAAGGGAATTTCACCATCATCAGCAATTGTTGTATCACATCGTCGACCAAAACAATTACGTGATATTTATCGAAAAGTTTTAGTTGATTCAGCAAGATTATTTTCATCAAAAAATCCATCATTTCAATTATTTAATTCTCAACCATATCAATCAAATGATTTACTTTTTTCAGATTCAGCTATTGATTTTAATTTACTTGATGATAGAACATCATATTCGAATTATCTTGGTAAGATTTTTACTTTTATTATTATTTAGATTTTTATTTAATTTTATGTATAAACATCGAAATTTCATTATGAAGTTTTTGGAGAGAGAAAAACTTCTCGAAGGATAAATAATGTAAACTTCTACTCAGAAAATTTATTTGAAAAATATTCGAGATTGATTGGAATTTTCACTTTATTTATTTTTATTTTTATAAAGTAAAAGAAAAAGCAAATTTTTTAGGAAATGAATATTTATCAATGTTATCTCGTTTATATGAATGTCCATTACGTGTATTACGTTGGTGTGTATTATCAATATATGAAAAAGAAAAATGTCGTTTAATGAAAAATGCATTTGCACGTAAAAATATAAAACCTGATATTGATTGTGTTTCGGCTAAAAATGCAATTGAATGTATGTCTAAAATTCGTCAAGGTGATGCTCATATAATAACAGTTGATGCAGCTGATGCATATCGTGCTCAACGTTATTATCAATTAGTTCCATTAGCTGCTGAAGATTATGGTGTTGATATGGAATCAAATGTAATGTATGCTGTTGCTGTTGCTAAACGTACTGATTTAACAAGTAATTTATGGAATTTACGTGGAAAAACAATTTGTTCAACAGCTATTGGAGATCTTGCTGGTTGGCATGTTCCTGTTGATTATTTAAATGCTATTAAAGAATTATATGTTACTAATTGTCATATTAATAAACACGCTGGTTAGTTCTTATTTTAAATATATTTAAAATATTTTGTTTTTTTTTTTAAAATAAAAATCTTAGGTGAATATTTTGGTCAAAGTTGTGTACCAGGTTCTCTTGATTATGATTATAATAAATTAAAAACAAATCCACGTGCATTATGTTTAAGATGTTATGCTAAAGGTTCAGATTATTGTTCACGTTCACATCGGGAAATGTTTTATGGAAGTTCTGGAGCATTTCGTTGTTTAACTGAAGGTTTATTTATTTATTTATTCATAAATAAAATAAAATTTTTTTGTGTTTTATTTTATTTTAAATAAAATCAAAAAGGTCGTGGTGGTCATGTTGCATTTGTAATGCATACAGCAGTTATATCAAATACAGATGGACGAAATGTTGATCAATGGGCTCGACCATTACGTGCTATTGATTTTGAATTATTATGTAAAAATGGAACACGTAAAACAATTGAAGCTTATAAAAGTTGTCATTTACTTCGAGTTCCAGCAAGAGTTTTAATGACATCAAGTATCAATTTACCTTTTTATTTTATTTTTTCAATATGTTATTGTTGTTTTCTGTCTAGGTTTATTACCAGATTTAGATAGACTTTATATATGGAATATGCTTAATTTTGCTCAACAATTATTTGGATCTGATACGTACGAGTCGCTTTTTTGTTATTAAAAATTTGAGAAAAAAAAAAAATTTTGTTTTTGTTTTTGTTATAGAAATAAAGAATTTACAATGTTTCAGTCATTTTATGAACATCCTGATTTAATATTTCTTGATGCAACAGTGCAATTAACACGTTTAACAACAAGTCTTGATGATTATCTTGGTCCAGATATAATACAATTATTACTTCGTACTGATCCACGAATGTGTAATTTAGCTTCATTTCATTTTCTATCATATTCAATCTTATTCTCTTCTTTCTTTTCTTTTTTTTATATTTTATAAATAAATATATAATGAATCTCTTTTAATAAGATAAATATTACCAATAAACATTCCATTTTGTTTTGTGTTATTTGTCGTTTTTTTTATTTCAATTTTTGACAAATATGAAAAAATCCGTCTGTATTTCTTTCAATATATGTATATTAAGATTTGTTTGTTTGTTTTTTTCTTTTGTATAGATTTTGTCTATTTCTATGAAAAGCTTTTTCTTTTTATTGCTCTTTCTACTAATCTTCATTTTTTTTTGCACAAAAAAAAAAAAAAAAAACTCAATTTGATATTAATCTACAACGCACTTTAATCCTCTTGATAGACTCAATTTTCTATTATAGATAAATAATATATATTGATTAACAAATATAAATAATATTAAGGTAAAAAGTTGTTATTTGGTTATTCGATTTAATAATAATATTAATTCAATAAATAAATGAATATTATTTTAATATTTGATTCTTAAAATGATTTATAAATCTAATATGAATTTATTTAAATTATTGATTAATAGAGTGAGAAAGATTGAACAAATAAATATTCTTAACTGAACAACTTCTCATATGATTATCTTCATCAACGACAATGGAAATTTTCATTGATAAATTAATTATGATGAGTTGTATAACTTATTTGAAATAATCTATCAATCAATTCTATAGAACTATTTTAGTCAAATCAATAATGAAATTTAATTGTTCAATTGAAAATAATAATTGTCATATATTATTATTTGATTTTCTTTATATATATGTTAATCGATTTAAAAAAATTTATTTTATAAATAAGTCGATAACAAATCAAATTAAAATATATTTATTTAGATTTTGTTTTATTGCTTTTTATAATCTTATTATTCATCGAATATTTTAAATTATTTTTGTTTATTTATTGAAAAAATAAAAATCTCTATACTAAAAAAAAATTTCTTGTTCGAAAATCCTTTCTATGTTCATTATTTTTATTTTTTATAGATTTAACAGATAAATCGATATAATTTTTATTTGCTCAATCAAATGAAATAAATTGTCAATAGAAACTTATTTGTGTGTGTTTTTCATAATAATATATATTCTAAAGAAGATTTTTGTTTGATTAATATTTTGTTTAATAATATATATATGTTTTTCTTAACATTAATTAATGAAGAAAATGTTTCGTAGGATTAATAAAATTAGTCTTTGAAAGTTTCGAAATGTGACATCTCTATAAACAATCTTCAATATTAGACAAACTAATTTATTTGTAAAATAAGACGAAAACAAAAAAAGCTAAGAACAGACTTTTATTTATTGACAAAAAGAACTATTTAAACTGATTATTCATCATTTCTATATGTAAATATACATCTGTTTGATATTAACTGATAATGAATTCAGAGAAAAAAAGAATAGTTAATAGAAAAATAACTAGTGTAATTTGATGTCAAATGAAAATAAGAAAACAATAAAATAAAAAAAAAACGAAGTATGTTAATTGAATATATTTTGTTTTTTAGATGTCTCAGCAGACAAAAATAAATTTATTGTCGGAAAAAAAAGTCAAAATTTATTAATTATAAATGAAAAAAGTATTAAATGATGAAGAAAGAAAATGGCTTAATAATGTACAAGTTCTAAAATATGTTAATTAAATAAATGATTTATTTAATCAATATCAAGTATATAACTGAACAGATTAAACATATTTTGTTAATCAATTAAAAATTTTATTTGCTTAAATAAAGCAAATTTAATAGCGTTTTTTGAAATTGTTCATTTTTTCATAGATTTATTATTAATCGATAAATCAAAATGGTCGCATACACAGATAAAAAAACAAAAAGATTTTTCTTTTTTTTCTTTAGTTTTTATATTTCTAGATTAAAATATTAATTTGAAGTTTTTTTAATACATGGTGGAAATTTTGGAAATGCTTTACATAAATGTGATTGAAATGAATGACAATCAATATGTTCAGGTTTTGGTGATGTTGTTATAGATTTGTTTTTTGCACATGATGCATATGTACTTTTAAGATTATTTAATAAATCTTTACATTTTTTTTCTTTTCCATGTCGAATACAATATTCACCACGTAAACGTAATTCATCAGGGTTGAATGGAACTTTAACAAATTCTTGATCGGTTAATGTTTCATTTATTAATATATTTGATGTTATTGTTGATGATTTAGTTGTTTTTATTAATTTTGATTTTGTTGTTTTTACTAATTTTTTAGTAGTTGATGGTTTTTCTGTTGTTAAAACAATATTTGTTGTTGATAATTGAATACAAGATGATGGAAAAACAGTACAAAATTTTGTTTTAATTTGTTGACAAACAAGAAGTTGTTCTTGTGTTGTTAGTTTTTGACATTTTTTAATTAAATCCGAAAATTTTGATTTCAATTGTAAACAATCCCGATTTGATGGATTTTGTTGACATTTATCACGAAGTCGACCATATTTATCAATAAAATCACATTTATTTAAAGAATATTGACTAAATAAATATATTAAAACAAGTAAACGCATTCTTTTTAAAAAATAAATCATTACTTTTATTCTTCATCGTATTTTCTTTTTCTATCAACTCTTAATAAATCGATAGAATTCTTATCTAATAATTGTTTAGGTAAAAAAAAGATAAAATGATGAAATATGATTCCATAAAGAATAACAAATCAAATTCCATTGAATAACATTGAAAGATTATAGATAAATAAATATTTTATTTTTTTTTGTTTTTTTAATAATAAAAGAAAAAAAATGTTTCAGATGTTGTCTATTCGATATTATCTGAAATAATTTTACATCAATAAATGATTAATAATTGATAATTATATTAAAATTTATTATTTGTAAATATTGAATAAATAAAATTAATCTGATTAAATAAAAAGAAAAAAATGATTTATAAAAAAGAATTAAATTCAAATAAAAAATATTATATTCCAAAACGTATTATTGTTGCTATATTAACATCATTTGGTTTACTTATTTCAACTGTTATTCAAACAAATTTTGCAATAACTAATTCATTAATATTAAATCCACATTATTCAAAAGATATTCCTATTGATGATTATCAATTACCAAATAAGGTTTTTTTTTATTTTATTTTATTTTATTTTATCTTATTATTTAAATTTTATTTTTAGTCACTAAAACTTAATTGGACATCAGTTCAATTAGGTTATCTTAACTCAATTTTTTATCTTGGATATCTTTTAGTACATATTCCAGCTGGTTTTCTTGTTCATAAATTATCGGCAACAAAGTATTTTTTTTCTAATTTATTTTGTTTAATATAATATTTATTATTTATTTAGAATATTTCTATTTCCATTATTAATATTATTTATATTAAATATGTTAATGCCAATATCAATAAGTACAATAACATCAAAAAACAATTTAAATTATTATATAACTGGTCTTGTTCGATTAATTCAAGGATTATGCGCAGTAAATTTTTATTTTCTTGATGAATTTTTATTTAATTAGAATTTATTGAGAATAGGGTTGTGCTTTTCCATCATCACATGGTATTCTTGCTAATTGGTGTCCACCAAGTGAACGTGGAAGAATGGGCGGTTTTATTTATACAGGTATCTATTTTACACTTGAAAATACACACACAGATTAATATATCTTTTCTTCGTTTTTAATTTTTGTATTTAAGGTCTTTACGCAGGTCCAGTTGTTGGATTTTTCTTAGGAGGATTTATAGCTAAATATGCCGGACATTATTCGATTTATTATGCATCAGGTAACTAACATGATCAATATATGTTTCTGTTATTGTTTTTTTATAATTTTTTGGTCCTTCTTATTATAAAGGATGGAAATAATCTATAAGTTTTTCTATTTATATTGATATTTAATTAAAATGAATATATCTATGTTAAATTGGGTTGGTTAATATGCTTATTGTTTTGTGTTAATACAAATGCATGAATGATTATGGGTTGTTGTTTTTTTCTTGTTAAATTAATATACAATAAATATAATATATATTTAGCTATTCTTGGTTTAATATGGTCATTATTATTTGTTTATCTTATATATGAAAATCCTCGTGAACATCCAACAATATGTGACGAAGAACTTTTTTATATAGAAAAAAGTATAGCTGATGTTAAATATATATATAATGAAAAAGAAACGAATTCAATTCGTAAAGTTCCATGGAAAATAATCTTAATATCATTACCAGTTTGGGCAATATGTTTAGCACATTTTGCACGTGGATGGACATTTTATTTATTATTAACAAATCAACCAGCTTTTTTAAATGCATTTGGATTTGGTGTTACACAAAATGGTACACTTGGCTCATTACCACATATAATGAAAGTTCTTATTGCTTTATTAAGTGGATT